TATATATATATATATATACATTAAACAAGTGTTACGTTGTAACCATCGTTGCTTCGAAGCTTTTGTTTTGCAAAGGTAGTTTTCCATGACAAATATTTGACTGCCAGGTTTCTAACCAGGTGTAGGATTTTATTTATTCAAAACATTGAAGATCCTTCATAAGGTTATTATCATGCAGGATAAGGTATTAATAAATTAATATCCTTTAACCTTGATCGCTATCTTGAATGAATTTGAAAGAATTTTATTAATTACAACCTATTTTGTGCTGAATGGCCTGTTATAAGGTCACTTTTAAAGTTAATTAATTGGTACACAGTTTTGTAGCCTACGAATATTCCATTTTTGTTTTCACTTTTCAGTTAGTGGCAAGAACATTATTGCTCCTGAGGTTTTGACTTTTTTTTCCGCTTGATAAACTTTTATTTTACATGGCCTAAATGTATTTCTTTACATATGATAACACATGATTTATTATCTATGAGAACTGATAACCAAAACATCTGTTTAAGTAATTTCAAAGAAACACAGACATAAACATGCTATCCGGAACAGCACGTTTAAGTAATGTTCGAGACACTAATCGATTTATAGACGAATCTTTTGTTGAGAAAGAAAATGTTTCTTAACATATATAAAAAAGGAACCTGATAAAAGTGACGGACGTATTTTGCTAATAATAAAACAAAATTTCGTGATATTAACCTCAACATGTAACATGAACGGTTGCATATACATAAACATTGGGACTTACTGTAAAGGTTATTCACCGAAAAAAATACATTTGCTATAGAATAAAAATATAATGCACATTTTATACGTATACATAAGTAAAAATATCTCAAAAGTATAGACATCTCTCCTTCACTAAGAAACAGGAAAGTAATTCAATTATTGATGAATAAAAACAACACTTGTTAGCCAGTTAATGCAAGGCTCGTACAGGATGTATTATAGATTTGATCAGTGAAAATCAAAACCGGTTTTCCAACGTAATCAATAATACTTAACTCAAATTTCACCAACAGCAGTTGTAGAAATGGAATGAATGTAATAAATTTTACATTTTAATAATAAACAAACTGTAAGTAACCCTATTTTCCTGATTGTTAATTATTTTGTCCTGTTTCACAGAAGTAAAGCATGCGGTTGTTTCGTTTACAGAAATTATGTTGTAAAATGCTTAAGCCTAAGAAAAATGTACTAGAGGAATCATCACTTAATAATATAGAGTAGATTCTCTAACATCAACCATCGTAAACACGTTATTAATAAGATATATTGTTTATGAGTTTAAGCATTTGACCGTTTCTGGTTATCCTCGCGAAAGTCATCAAAATGTGTCAAAAACATTACTATAAATGTGTTAAAGTAACGAATATCCAATTTCAGTGTTCACTTGTGAAAATAAAAAATACTGAAGCTGAAAATATAGAGAATATTTATCCTTACCTTAGGAAAGTACTCTTGAACACTTTTATTCTGTAGAAAATAAATAAATATATATATATGAAAATCAACACAGTAATTCCTATGAAATAACATATCATAAAAGATTAAGCGTCGAAACTGACGTACTTTGGGAAAAAATCATCAATTAGCGAACTAAACAACAATAACACTGACTTAAATTATATTTAATTTGGGTTAAAAGTCATAAAGCTGATAAAATTCTAAAAGGACCAATAAAATGTTACGAAGTCAGCTAGATATATGATTCAATATTATACACAGGGTCGAGATGACATAACAATACCACTACCTGATTATATAGAACTATTGCAGTATAATATAGTAAGACGTATGATTGTTTGTTTGTAGTTATGCACAAAGCTACACAATGGGCTATCTGTGCTCTGCCCACCACGGGTATCGAAACCCGGTTTCTAACGTTGTACGTCCGCAGAGATACCGCTGTACAAGATGTACGATTCGAGATTATATGTAGCGAACTTTCGGTAAATAATAACATGAACGGTTCGACACTATATAAGTGGTCCTTCATACTTGTACTTGGTTTTAAATAACTCAGTGCAAAATTTAACTTTACTTGCAAAATGTATGTGCAAAATCAATATATGTTTACTGGTCTAATGAACTGTAGTGTAAAAGTTGTATCTTTTATCCTAGTCGGCTTTATTGTTGGGCTTTTAAAAAGAAAAAGAAAAGCAAAACGTGGTTTAGACAAATCTGCACGTTTGAATTAAGTCAAACTTGTGGATTACAAAATGTTTTACTGAACAAAGTAATTGAAATAAAAGGTTAGACTTTACATTTTAAAATGTTTGACATAAGCAAATGTTTTTAGACTGCAACAAAGCTGTAAAATTATCAAGTTCAGTAAAAATGAAAATTATTTCTTTAAAATATTTTACGATAAAATATTTCACTTTTAAATATTAAAAGAAAATATATAGGGAAACGAAACATTTTTTCAGCAAAATTCAAAAGTTCTAGCGTTATTAGCAAAAGTAGCTAGGTCATCAGTTTCTCCTCCTTCAACTAACATCAGGTTCACCATATTTTAGGCATACTACAATTTGTTGATAGTAAACAAGGGTAATATACTTCAACAATGGCCTCAAGATTATTTTTATTTTTCATCTTCCACATTTTGGGATATAGTAATAGTTAGAAAATGGCTGTAACCTCATTCTCTTTCAGAACTACTTCCTTTGGAAGTTTTATTACATTAATTTTGCAAATAAAAATACAATAATTGGCTTAATCTGTATTAAACTAAATGTTCTATATAAAATCATGATGCAATGACTATTACTGTTCTCTAGAAACTGATTAGCAAGCATAAAAGCAACACATATATCTTCTTTAACTATTTAATTTTGTTCTTAATACACATATATATTTTTAGAATCATGTTTTACATACTTTAAAAGAATCACCCATTAAAGATGGCACATAAAATATATTTACAAAATTCCAAAGAAAAAAGTCTATGATGAAGTTGATTTATAAAAACCCTTTCAAGGTGAACGTTACCCGGTAAAATTATGTCCTAAATGATAAAAATTCCGAATAAAGTTATCGTTCTAATTCAAACGATCAACTTCAGAGCAAAAAAAAGGTATTGATTTTCGACTAGAAACAAAATATCTCTTAAAAACATTCATTTGATAGAGATTTATAAGTCATAGCTGGATATGTCACAAGTGGAGGAAACACGTTGAAATAAGAACAGTAGATAATTGGTTAAAACAATTTCTTTCGAATATAATGAAACTTTGTCCCAATATTTTCTAAATAAATTAACTTTCCTATCAGCTCATCTACATTTGATCCTAAAAACAAATATATCTCGATAAACCAAAGCAACAACTAATGCAAGATTGAGATTATGAATGGCTGGAAAGCGTTGACGCTGCTATAAAAGAAATAAAAAAAAAAAACGTCATTAGTCGACTGCTTGAAAGAAAATTTAATTAGTGATTACGTAATTATCGAGGTACCCCTGTGCTCAAAGGATGCTGCCTCAGTGGGGAATCACCGGGTAAGTGAAGATCGAAGGATGCCGCCTGAGGGTTACATAGCTGTTATGCAATAGGCACCAGGAGGTGGTAACGTCCACAAAGTGGCACTAGAAGGCGCGGCTGTCTTGGAGGAGGGGTAACATCATAATTCAATACCATAAGACCTGAGCTACAGGTAGATGCTGTTTCTATAAGCAGACGGCGTTACTAAGGTTCTGTAGGTAGATTGTGTTACTAAGGGTAGTGGTTGTATAAGCAGACGGTGTTATCAAGGTTCTATAAGTGTTTGGTGTTGCAGAAAGAGTTATTATACTTACGTAGGACTGCATACAAATTTCAATTTGTCTCAACTTATATTTGTAGTTTTCATTTATATATTTAACTGTATTGTATGTGTTTTACAAAGGATGTTTGTTCTACCAAGGTTCTACAGGCGGATAGCATTACTCGTCAAATTGCGTTACTAAGAGTAGTGTTTCTATCGATATTTAACCATTACTATTGTATAAAACTATAATACTTACCTTTGTGTAGATATTTTCACAAATCTCTGTTGAGAGCTTATTTTTCGCTGACTGGAACTAATAGCATATAGGCGTTCTTTCCATTTCTATCTTATTATATTATTTAAAGATTTAAATAGATATCCTTTTCACGACGATAATTGTAAAAATGTATTTGATGTAAATTAAATATAGAAGCGAAAACTACACTGCAGTACGTTAAATGTGTACCAAATCGAAACTTGAATTATAAAAAAACACAATCGTCTGTACAATAATAATGTAACTATCTCTTTCATTATTTACAAAAATGAAACGTTAGATATGATAAACTCCTTTCAGGATAGATAATTGTAAAAGTTGGTAATGTATATTATTGGATATACTATAATATTTGCCTCGTTCAAATAATGGATAAATCAAGATAGTACGTGCAATAAAAACTGACATATGTAATACACTATGCTAAAATATAGCTGTTTCGTCAAAAATTATAGTTTTACTTGTAGCTTTTTAGGACATATAATTAAATCTAGACATTGATGTCTAGATTACATGTTGAAACACCCTACGATAAGCTCATCATCTTACTGAACTATTGGTTTATAGCAACATTGTCCATTCATAGAAGAACTAATCTTAGTAACACAATATGGCAAGTAATACTATCTGCCCAGTAACACCAACCACTTTCTAAAACACATGTAATACAGTTAAATATATAGAAGAAGCTATAAAAATAAGTTGGGACAAGTTGAAATGTATATGCAGTCCTATGGAAGTCCAACTATAGAACCACCAATCACCTATAGAACGTTGGTAACACTGTCTGTTTATACAAGCACAATCTTTAATGAGACAATCCACCTACAGAACCTTAGTAACACCGTCCGCCTATAAACCATCTGCCTATAGTTCGTCATGAGTTAGAAGGATTAGGCGACCTCATGATGGGCTTATCAGATCATATATACATGACAAGTTTGCGTGAATTACAAATAGTTAAGTATATGACCGCGATTTGTTTCAATATTCATGAAATAACTCAGAAACAGAATAGAGCGCTCTCATCCTGAGTAGTTTTATAACGACACGTTTGAGAATGTGCTGGATCTGCTTCGAAAACTACAAAACATTTATTAGCATTAAACTTACAAAGCATAGGAGAAATGTTTCCATGGTGGTTTACAAACGATTGCCTTAATTTTGCTCGTTATACAGCATTGGAAATAACTATTAAAACGGTAATGAAGAAATATAAAAACTACCCCTTTATCACTCAAAGAGTACATTAACATTTTGATAGTTTATACTGTGATTAGTTGCATATCAATCAATTACAAGGTTCTATGCAAGTCATATTATGCCGTGACAAACTGTTCAAAAATACTTTGTGCGAAAAACTTTGGCAAGGCTTCATGTTTTAGTGGAAGTTGTACAGTAGACTCTGAAAAGAGCACGTAAAACTGGCTTTATTTATAACAGAATTGATCGAGATAATAAACCGAAACTCTCCAAAACTAATGTTATGTATCCAATAAATAACTTTCCAACGATCTTGCTGTAAATGCAAGTTTAAATGTTTTACCTCAAAAACGTTAAGAAACATATTACCACAAAACAGTATCAATGAACGTGTAATTGGCTGAAAATCGCTGCCAAGTAGAGGTTAACAAACCTAATGGATGAAATGGATATTAGATCACAGTGAAATTGTGTTTGCTTGCTAAGTTTTGCGCAAAGCTACTCGAGGAATATCTGTGCTTACCATGCGTAATTTTGAAGTGATAGAAAAGGAGGGAAGGCAGCTAGTCAACATCACTCACGTCCAACTCTTGAGCTACTTTATTAACACCCTGTAATTATAATCATAATTATAACGTACCCACGGGCCCAAAGTGCAGGGCGCGATTGTTTTTATTTATATATTTATTTTTGACGGTAAGAGAGCGCGAACCACGGAACCTAAGATTTATAGTCCGGCACACTAACCACTGTACCTAGCTTGGCCTTACAGACAATAAAAAGAGCAAAGTTGGAGACATGTGCTGTTTACAGACGCCTTCAAGTTCGAACTGTTTGGCAACAATCAACGATAGTTTATTCCAGTGATTCTTCAATATCACTCATTCCTATAAGTTTTCACAACAGCTCACTCAGGCCAGTTCGAAAAAAGACAAAAAAGTCCTAAATTAAAATGCTAACTTCTTTATTAAGACTAATAATACATCAAACTACATCTAGAATGAATACAACAAAAAATAAATGTATTTATCAAACTAAAACTAGAATCTATAATAATAACTAATGACTGTTTTTGCTCTTAAATTTGTTGTATTATCGATAATACTCACTCACCCTGCCATTCATTCTCATTCACCCTGATTCTGATTTCATTAACCCCTGGGTGAACCATTCACCCAGTTGAGAATCACCGGTTTATTCGACGACAGAGAGGAGAATGTTATCGAAGTCAATGTCCAAATCTAAA